ACCTGCTGCTGCTCGGCCTTGGGGGGCACCACCTGGACCTGCTGGACCACAGCTGGCTGGCCCCCCCCAGGGCTCTGAACAATGAGCAGGTTATTTCCTGCTTGGATGATGTTGTCCGCGGTGGTCTCGATCAGCACCGTCTCCACCTGCTCAGCCACAGCCACAGGGGGCTGGGAGGCAGGAAGGCTCTTCTTCCTTGCTTTCTTGTTAGTCTTAGACAGTGGGGTTGGGGGGCTTTCAGTGAGGAGCTGAGTGGGGGCCCCGGTGTCACTGGCGTTCACGAGGTTGTTGACAGGCAGAGTGAGCGTCACATTGCCGCCCCCACCTGTCAACTTCACCACATTGGCCCCGCTCTGCACGGGGGTGGTGGTCGTACTTGACTTCTGGATGGGGGCTGGCTTGATGGGGACAGGCTTGTGACTGGATGGTGAGGGGGTGATGATGGCTTGGTTGGTGCCAGGGATGATCTGGATCTGGTTGGTGAGATTGGGCTGTACTTGGATGGTTTGGGAACTGCTTGCCTGAATCTGAGGGACTGCCTGGTACTGGATATTGGCATTTGATCGGGTCCCTTTGTTGATCATGGTGGGATTCTGGATAGCAAACACCAGCTGCCCTCCAGGATAGGAGGCGCTCAGTTGTGACCCCTGAATCTGAAGTATATTTCCTTTGGAGGACAAGATTCCAAAGCTATTCTTGCCGGGGCTGAGAGGGAGAGGGGCAGGTTTGATAGGGACAAGTTTCCGCGGTGTGGGCTGTGGGGGAGCAGGAGGTGTCACAGCAGCTTCAACTGCTGGAGGGCCAATTTTGCTACATGTTGCAGCAAGCAGGGCTAAGGGAGATGGCTGGGAGTCCTGCAAAAAAACAGCAGAGAAAAGGAATGAGACAGGAAGGCCTGCTGCCCAGCCGCCTCTGTCCATGATCCTCTCTTCTTGGCGGTATTCCACGCCACTCTTCCCCACCTCCGTGGCAGGCATGTTGCCAGCACCCTCCCCTGCTTGGCTGCTGTCTCCCCTTCTCTACTGGTTTCTCCATTAAGTGAGGGAGAAAAGGTGGACAGTGTCTTTCTCAGGAAGGAATCCCTGGCCACACCCCACAAACACGGTAAACTAACAATGTGAGCTGACTTCCTACTCCCCACTGGCCTTGTTTCTAAGGACAGTGAAGCATGTTTGGCTCTTAGATGGAGTTTTGTTAGCCCACCCCAGGGACTGAGGGGTCCCTGATTGCTCAACTGAGGAAAGGAGGGAGGAAAAAAGAAATGGAGGGGCAACAGGAGGAATAAATACTTCAGTAAAGGGCTTTTTAGTACTCAGAACATGTAACTTTATAGATTGGGCTACACTTTCGAGACAATGAGAGAGCCTCTGTTCTCCTTTTCCTCTTTTAGTGAGGTCTGGTGGAAGGAACACAGAGTTTAATCCTTGTTTTTCCGGCAGCCCAACTGTGGCACCTTAGGTAAATGGCCATGGTGTCTCAGTAAAGAAAATGTGGCTAACTGAACCTTCCCCAGTCTCATAACCTAGGGTATTTATAGTGAGACAGTGAAGAGAAAGTGTTTTCGGTGAGTCTGTCCAGGATGCTGCAGCCCCAAGCCCTCGGAGCCCAGTGCCTACTCGC